CAAAAAACGCACAAAAATTCGTAAAATATTATTATAGTATATTTACGCCGGGCGATCCGATTTTAAGGACCAGCAAATATTTCAAAAAAACGCAATGATGGACTGTATATTTTTAGATTTATTTAGTATTTTATATGTTACCCAACAAAAGTCCAGCTTGTTCGTAGACGGCCAAAAATCAAAAAGGGCCGAAAACATATTTACATGATTTGACATTGGTTTGACAAGTGGAAAGTAAAAGTGGTTTGCAAAGAGCGCCACCTATGCGTCAGGATGTAATGTTGCCATATGAACTCATGCAATGCGCGTTTATTTCTTACCAACGCTAATGTCCGGATTTTTCAAAATTTGTACTGATTTGTACTGAATTTTCAATTCAAACAAAATACTTTAGGAGATCTTGAGGTTTTTACATAACGTTGGAACTTCCTTAAACTGTACTGAAAAAACTAAGAAGAAAATAATTTAATTATAGTTGACATGTTTCAGATAATGTTTGATATGCCCAAGAAATTAATACAACACAAAGATCAATCGTTTATGGGCATACCGCTGAATCGTTACGTATGTACCAGTTGCGATAATATGATGGAGGTTAAATTATTAAAAAGAAGGCTGACGTTTTTTTGTCGAGTGTTGCTAGTTATCTCGACAATAAACTTCAGTTTAAGAACAACAAATTTTAATATTCGAATGGCTTTGCCCATAACTTACAATTCTTTTTTCATTGACATTGTAAAAGAGTATTGTATACAAAACATATCTAGAGCAGTAATTCCCAAAGTGGTCGAGGTGGACCTCAAAGGGTCCACGGGATACTCGATGGGGGTCTACATTGGCGTGAAAAAATATGGGCATTCACGAGTTGTAAGTGGGGCCACGAAAAATTATCTGGCTTCGATAGTAAAGAACAAAAATGGTTTCTTGGCTTGTCTATCAATGTAGGCAGATAATACACTACTCCAAAAAATTAAGGGATCAAAAACATACCAAATTTTTCGGTGGTTTTTGACAAGCCGTATTTCGGTAAAAAGTGGTCGTATTGAGATGTAAAAAGCCCTTGAAGCTCTAAGTTGCTAATTTTTCTTGGCTAATAATTTTCAGGAGCTACGGTTCTCTTGTAGCGCGAAAAAATAATTTTGCAAATTTCTTGCGGTTTTTTGGCCCACGGGATTGAGAAAAATTGGTCAGTTAGGTCAGC